CTCTAGTACCTTCGTACAGTCCTTACAGCCTACCGATGATCTTCTGCGGTACCTCACAGCGTCGCAAGGACTGAAGGTGTGCCGAATTCGTGTTCGGAAGTCGAGGAATGCTACATGCTAGGGTAGTTGGAAGTTTCATCCCTGTTCGATTATCTTCTTTTGTACGGCGATGTCACCCGTACACGGGGTCCAGCTTTAAACCCTGTTTGATTTGATCGAAGAGATTCGTCGACCGAGTTCTTCAGTCTTCAAAGAAAGATTCCCGGGAATATCTTTTCTAGCACAGGGAGAAGCATGATCCCCGGCAGTTGGAGCAGTCAGATTGCCACGTTTGAACGTGGAAATCATTACGCCCTGTTTTCATCTCTCGGGAATTTCCGAATTCTGCCAGATGCTGTCAGAACTAGACAGATCCCGTTTCAATGAGGTTTCCTCTGGACACTACGGAATTTTCGCACTAATTCGCGTCTCCGCAGGATTTCGAACTCGTAAAGACATGACATCTCGGATTTCATGTTTCAATGGGACAGAGATATCAATTTTTGTTCTTCCCGGTCTTCGGACTCTATTTACAGGTCATCCATGAGAAAGGTCGTTAAGAGCTCTTCAAAATGTTCTGTCCATCTTTACCGACAGCTGTCTGAATGTGGAGAGGGCTCACTGGAACAGCTGTGAATCAGACAAGTTACGGATTTCTATTTCCAGCCATTAGTGATGAAGTTGACTTGCATGTACCAAGTCTTCCAGTGTTTCTTCCAAGCCGCCTTTTCCAGGTTCTGCGCTTCGACTTCTATCCAGTGTTGCTTGTCACAGTGGTAACTCCTGTTGACTGCTTTCAGAAGATACTGAAGTCTCGCATCTTCGTCTCATTAAGATTCTGCAAGAACTCCTGCTTTTCAGAGTTTCCTTTTTGGCGAAGAGCGAACGTTTCTGCGGTGATCTACGGGTGCTTCGTTTTTCGATTAGGCTCAGTATTTTTGCTACCGCAACGACGATGTCCTGTTTGGTACAGCAACTCGGAGTCCTGGCTAGTCATGCCCTTGAAAGCAGCGAATCTAGTGTTGATTTCGCCTTGGAACGCCACATAAGTTTCTGGATCTTGTGACTTGCTGGTGTCTAGTCTGGAGTTCGCCTCTTTCCGTGATGTTCTCCGGGACATATTGAGTTTGAGGCAGAGCTGTGCGACTACAAACAATGATGTGGTCCGAGCCAGTGTCAGCTCCCCGTCGAACCCGGGTAGGGGCGCTT